TGGATTTTAATCAACTCAGTGTAACACAGTGGAAAAAGACAAGGGGAACCACTTAAAGGGGCTGTCACAACAGAGGAGTTGGAGCGGGTTTGCAGATGCTGCAGGTTTAATAGAATTGATCAAAACCTTAGGAAGGAACTTCCCTGTTTGCCCTGGGGGTCAGTCCCTGGCACTGACTGTGGTGTGAATGGTGCCATCCCCCTTCTCCAGAGACAGACCTGGCTGGTGGGAAGCACATGACATTCCAAGCAGGGCTTGTCGCTGCTTCCACGTTCCTGCAGACTTTGGAAGAACTTCACAGAGTTTGCAGTCAAATCCCAAAGAGTTAATTGCTACTAAACCATAGTAATGAGTTGTGAGTGATTTGGTAGGACCCCAGTCTTTGATTAGTTCTGGGGAATGTTTGATTTCTCTGGGTGTCTGTTTTGCTCTAAATTTTAAGCACTGAGTTGTTCATCTAAAGCTTGGAGTAGTAGCAGTTTGTGGTTTTTTTTCTGATTTGTGTTTTCCTTACAGAAAGGGAAGGGGAGTGTGAGACAGAGAGCCTGGAAGATGAAGGTTTTGAACATAAAGGGATTGTTTTGGGATGGAGCTTTCCCTTGTGTGTGCTCACCATTAAAGACGACATTTCTGTGCGGTAAATTGGACCCACGCCTGCCTGCCTTCAAAAAAACTACCAGGCTCTTCTGCTTCATGGTTTTGAGTCTCTGATACTTTTGAAATGAAGCCTAAAGATCCTCCAAAGAGGATAACAGTGCCTAATGGAAAGAATAATGGGAGCGAGAACCCCTCTGAAATGACAGCTCTGAGCCTCACACAGCTTTCTGGGCTGATCAAAGCTGCTGGGAACGCTGTTTGAAAAGGGGGGATCAGCTCCCCTGCTCCTCTTCCCGCTCATCCTGCACATGATTTCATATTCCAACCTTCTCACTTTTTTCCCGGTAGATCAAGTGACCCTCGGGAATGGCAGGTGTTCGGATCAGTGCTCTGGGGACCAGAGCATAGGAGATGAACTGTTGGGGGTGATGGGGCCTCAATCCCCTCATGCACAGGGACCCCCAAAATGCCCCACACGGAGCAGTCTGCAGCTCCTCTGCCCATGTGTGTGAATATTCCCAACACCCCATGAACACAGAGGAAGGGGGTTGCTTCCTCATCGTAGATTTATGGTGGCTTTTATTTTATTCCCTGTACATGTCCCATGATTTTGGTTATTTTCTGAAGTCAGGAGATGATTTCAGCATCTCAGCTTCCGTTTTTATTCTTACTTTAAATCCCTGTGCTCATTGCTGAAGTCTGAACGTGCGACCTCAGGTGCCCAAGTGCTTTAGCCATCAGAAGCGGAGGGAATTCTTTGCATGGTATTTTTATATGTAAGATCTTTGTGACTTCTTTTTGGAATGATTCCTATTGACTGGCTGGTTTTAGAGGACGAGGTCATGTGTGCTTTGGGGATGCAAAATACTTGGGATCTTCAGGGGCTGAGCAGAGCAGGGCTGAAGGAGTCAGTGATTTCTCTTAGGGCCAGGGCTGCAAGAAAAGGGGGTCCTGACAGTGTGGAGGAAGGGTGGAATATGGTTCTTGTGTTAATTCCCTCGCTCATGGTTGCCTTGTAGCCACGTCCAGGCTGGAGGAAGGAGAACTCGGTGATTTGAGAAGGAACAATCCCACTGGAGTGGGAGATGGAGTAGAGCCTGTTGAGCCCCTTGAGCCCCCGTGGAGACTGGCTTTGCTTAGGCAGCATTGTTCTCACCAGATTTACTCACAAAGCCCCTGGAAAATCCGCTAAATCCTGGGCTCTCAGTGCCATGCTGAGCGTGAGACGCTGGGGCCACGTGCTGCAGCCCAGGCCTGCTGTGATCACCCCCTGTGATCCCCTTTCTCCCACACTCACCTGGGCCCTGGAGCGGGCAGGTGCCTGCACCCAGCCATGGACTGAATCTGGGACCTCAGGACAAAGCCTTTAACCCAGATGTGCCCATCTTCCCCCCCTGCTTCAGTATTTAAAGTGAAACTGTTGATGCATTAAGCAGGAAAATTTATCTGTGAAAAATTGCACTTGGAACGCTGGGTTTGGCTTGTTCTGAGCAATGAGAGAGCATGAAATTGCTGTGAATCCTCAGGGCTTTCCTGGACAGTGTGTGAGCCCAGTGCAAAACGTTTAATGTGAAATACCTTCTAATTGCAGTGCCTGAACACCTCTGGGAACTTTTTTCCTCTGGGCAGTTGGGAGCAGCGGGTACACAAAGGACAGGGATGGTGCTGGCAGGAATCAGTGCCTTAAACAAACACGAGGAGTGAATTGATCTCTCCCTCCACCCTTTTGATTTTCCAGTGGAACTGAGAGGGCTGGGAGGGAGCGGGGCTGGAGCTGCCATACTCCCTGCCTGGCCTGGCTTCAAGGTACTCTTGCCCAGACACCCATTCCTGGCACCCAGTTCCCTCCAAGCCAGTGACACTGGGCCACTGTTTCCACTCTCTGGCTGCAGTTTCTCCTTGTCCCCTGCTCCAACTCTTGAAAGTATTCGCAGTGCCCCGTGCTGGGATCCCTGGCAGGCAGAGTGGAACAGTGTCAGCTGCCTATCACTGCTGGGAGGGTCAGGAGCAAAGAGCCACGTGTTACCACAGGGAGCTGGCACGGTGGTGAGAGGTCACACAGCATTGGTGGCTCGGCAGCAGTGCCAGAGAATCTGCTCCCAGCTGAGCGAGCCGATGGATGCGGTGCCTGGCAAAGGGCATTTTAGTGGGGGGATCGATTGCTCTCAGTACGTTGGATTGATCTGGGGATCCTCCAGCGATGGAACCAGCCTCTGAGTGTATCAGTGAGCAGGGTTTTGCCAATCTTGATAATCAATCCCTGTTTCCATCTCCCGCTCCTGGAGCTGGTGCCACGGCTGTTCCGCCTGCAGCGTTCCCGCACGGAGCAGCCGATCACACTTGAGTTGTTTGGAGTGCCGTGTTGCAGAGATGCTTTTATCTCAGCATTGGGATAAAAGCTTTCTTTGGGGGCAGAGGGATTAATTTTTCACACATCTGTCCACTGGAATGCAATAAGGAAGCCTTTGTTCGGGCTCTTTCCGTGGAGCGCCTTCTCCACCCTTGTTATTTCACTCTTCTTTTTGCATGGCAAAACTTTTTGTCCTGCATTTCAAATAGATCTTGAGCGTCCCTGGCAGCTGAACAAGAGAAACAAACTTTCCAGCCCTGTTGTTTGTGCTGTTCTCAGGGGATGCTTGGTGATTTGAAGGGTATTTGATTGGTTTTGGCAGAGGCGTTTTACTCCGTGGAAAATCCACGGCTCCTCTGATCCCTTACGGCCGGTTTAGGGAGCCCCTGGAGCCTCCAAATGAGGGATTTGCGGGTGGCCAGCTGGTCGTGAAGGTGCCATGGGAACGCTCAGGACTCTGCTCTTGGGCCGTGCGCCGTGGTGGGCAGGGAACAGAGGGGGAGAGATGGGGAATGGTGCCAGCTCTGCTCCTGCCGGAGCCACAGTGGGAGGGCTCGGAGCTTGGCCCAGCCATGGCTCTGCATGAGAATGAAGCCCCAGAGCCTCAGCCTTTGTCCTGCAGATGCTTTCCTTGCTCTTTGGAGATTGGTTTGACTCCAAAGTCTCCCCAGACCAGGATATCCCAGCTCCAACTCTAATCATATATCAGGGGGCCTGACCAGGGTCGATGGCTCCACCCCCAGCAAGAGGGAGTTTAACACTGATTGTAACATTCCCCAGTCTGGATGTGCTCCCCACATCCCACAAAAGCTGTAGCAGTTGCAAGCAAACAGGTTCAGCTCAGCCCTGAGGACCAGGGTTGGTGCTGGGCTCGGTGCACAGGGAGCAGCAGCCCAGGGAACCTCTGCATACATTTACCTCTGATATTTTTTTTTCCCCCCAACAGCCCTATTACCATATTTAAATGCAAGTATGTCTTTTTCTAATTGATGTTTTAAGTAGTTTCAAGTCACTCTAGTCTAGTTCTCTGCTCCTTTGCCCTGATAGATGAGCTGTAGTTGGGCCAATAGTGTAGAGGTAGAGGCTGTAGCCTGCTGGTCTCTCTGGGGTTTGCTCGCTCTCTCTGGCTTGCTCTTCTCTTTCTCTGTGCCTCAGTTGTTTTTCTGTGGTTCCTCAGCCTTGCAAAGCAGCTGTGATCAGAGTCCTGGGCCCACTCAGGTGGCTGGTCCCATGGTGGCAGCCAGCCCCAGGGTTGTCCTGTGGGGCAGCGGGAGCAGTCGGAGCTCCCAGAGGCCAGGAACCTCTCGGGAGTTGTTGACTTCAAGGTTTGGGGTTCTTGCAGGTCACCTGGACTTTGCCATTGCCCCCTTAAAATACATATATTGAAAGTCAGAGTCTCTGACAGATCTTGTGAATATTAATTAAGCAAAGCCATTAAATCTGCGATCTTGCTGGCAGCATTCCGTTCCTCTGGAGGGCTTGCTCCCCTGGAGCAGGGGGTATGTCGTTGAGCTCCTTGATCTGCGGCTGTTTTGCTTTCAAGAGCTTTTTTCTCTCTTTCTTTCTTTCTTTTTTAAACCACATTCCACTGAATTTTTTCTGCTTGATCCCAGCAACTCTGTGATCTTGACACGGGGACCTCCTCATATTTTCCATTACTGCTCTGTCTATAGACCAGCACGTTATTATCACTTGCAAATTAACCTGGAGGAGAATTCCCTGGTCGGTTGTGGAGCGGGCTGACCCCGTTTGTTTGGGAGTACAGAGACACGAGCCGAGTGCTGCGGGCTCTGCCACCAGCCTGCCCACCTCGGCCCTGCAGTGTGCCATGGCCAGGCACCCCATTCCTCCTGTGCCAGAGGGATTTGTGCCACCGGGACCCTCTGGCAGCGGGCACCTGGCGAGGGCTCAGCTCTTCCCAACCACGGTGCCTGCTGGGGGCACAGAGAGCCAGGATGGCGAGCTCTGGGAACTGTGGCCAGCCTGGGCCCTGCAGAGACTCGTGGTACCCTCTGGCTTCTTTCTTTACCCTTCTCCTTTTCTCCATGGCCAGGTTTCCCGGCAGCGGCTTATGGACCAGTAGCAGCGGCGGCCGTGGCGGCAGCAAGAGGATCAGGTAGGGGGGCCCGTGGAAGAGCAAACCCTCAGAGTGCAGGGTCAGGTAAAAGCTCTGTCGGTATTCTGTGTGGCTGCAGCTCTCCATCATTTCTCTGATTTTCCTCACACTTATCCTGGGGACCTGAAAACAAAAGATCAAAAAAAAAAAAAAAATTACTTTAAAAAAAAAAGTAATAAGTCCCGACCCAAACCCAAACTACAAGCAGAGGCCACGGGGGCTGGAGCACCTGCAGGAGATTGGCGTGAGAACTGCCAAAACCAGGGTAGATATTCCGATTTGTTTCTTTCTTTATTCCTTTATTGTGTTGGTTTCTTTATTTCTTTGGTTTAAATTCGAGGTTCTAAAAAAGACACCCCCCCAAAAAAAATTTAGTTTGTGTTTTTTGAAAAAAAGTTTTGGTTTCTCCTGGGAAGCTGGGGTTGGGTTGAGGTGGTGGCAGCAGCTTCGGGTGCTCCCGCCGTGCCTGGAGCCGCTGTCACCTCCTCTGCCACAGCCAGCACAGAGCGTCCCCCCAGCAAGGGGCCGTGTCCCTTGAGGACAGTGTCACTCGTGCCATCAGCATTGGCACTGCTTCCACGAGGAATGCCAAAGCTTTTCTTCTGTCCTTCCGAAAACTTCTATTTCCTTTCCCCTTAAGGGAAATAAATAAATCGTTGCCAATTACCGTTACTGCCTCAGGTTTAAATTTTGCCAAACACGTGAATTAGCACTTTGCTCAGGTGACAAGGAGTTCAGAGCAGCCATCAGTGAGCTGGGGGCCAGGATGGAGCCGCTGCCAGCGCGGTGTCCTCTGCCCCAGCGTCCGCGGGGAGGACACGGCGCTGGCAGCGCTTCCAGCTCACTCCTGGCTGAGCTGGGGGTTCTCAGTGACTTTTCTGGCAGTGCCGGTGGGTTAAGGAGGCTCTTCCCGAAAAGCCACGGCTGCGTGAGGGGTTAGGAGGAGGGCGCAGGCCCAGGTGTGTCGAGCGCGAGCCCAATGCCATGGAGGCCAAAGAAAGACACCAGGAGAACTCCGTTCCATGCAAACTGGCACTGCTTGCAGGCTACAAAGGACTCTCTGTACCAGTTCCATCTTGTGGCATGTAGAGAGCGCCTAAGGGGTGACTTGCCAGCCTGGTTGTGGGGATCCCCCATCTCCCGGCTTCTCCTACTGCCCCGTCACAGAGGGGGAAAAACAAACCCAAAGAGAAAAAAAAGAACCCAAATGAAAAACAAGATATTGCTTTTGCATACGCTTCCAGGAAAACAGACCTCATTGTTTCTGCCTCTTCCTCATGTTTTGCCCTTCAGGTTTTGTTTTACGTGCAAACAGACCTGGTGAGTTGCCCCTTAGCAAGGCACAGAGGGTTTGGCTCGATTAACGTTGCTTCCCTGATTATTATGATTATTTTTTTTAATCGGAGTGCTTTTGGTGCCCATTACAACTGAACTGAGCATTGATCAATTCTGTGCCTGAAAATCATTTGTCTTTAATTTGAGTGTTTTTTGGTTTCTCTTTTGTTGGGTTTTCTGTTTTGTTTTTTCAGTTTTTTTTGTTTTTTTGATTTGAACTTGCAATACGAAACTAAATCTAACCCTAAATTAACAACACCCTTTCTGGCAAGTTTAAAGAGCAGTATGGTGTTTGGAAATGTCTTTTCAAGCCTCAAAATTGCCTGTGTGCACAAAACTGGCAAAACCCCAAAACTGAATCCAAAGAGCCCCTGTCCCTCCCCAGCCCCGAGGTCTCAAGGAGGAAGGTGGGTTTGTCACCGGCCCCACGGCCACTCACATCTACACCAAACTGTGCTCTGGGAACGGTGGGCTTTTCCGTAGAGTCATCTCCATCCAAAGCCGGTTTCGGAAGGGACATCCTGGGTTTGCCACTCCATCAGCAATGGTAGTGAATTGTATCCAGGAGCAGTGGAGTCCGATCGATCTTGCGCTGCAGTGTGCGGGCCCGATTCATTACAAGAAAAATGGTGGGGTTTTTTTTTTTTTTCCTCTTTCCTTTTCAGTTGGGTTTTTCTTTTTCCTTCACAAATTCGCACAGCGCTCCTTCACGTGTGCCTGATCCAAAGCACAGAGCATGGCACAGCTGGCCCTAACTGGCCCTTTCTGCCAGGAAATAGGAAGGAGCTGGAAAACAGCCAGGCAGGCGCATCCCACCACCCCTGGCTTGCTGGGGAGGGCTCTGCCCAGGGCTGCTGGAGCTGCCCCTGTCACAGAGCAGACAGGCCAGGAGGTTCCTGGAAAGCACTGATGACAATCCACGTCATCAGAGTCCCCATCACTGCAGCTCCTTCGGCAGCGCTCCAGCCTCACCAGCTCACCCAAAATTGACCTTCTCTGCTCTCCGGCCCTGTCCTGCCGGCTCTTCCCCTCCTTCCTGGCATCACTGCCAGCACTGAGACTGAGTGCCCACAGAGAGCATCCACCTTCAGCTGCACATCTTGGTCTCCCAGGGACGCTGCACCCCTCTCACTCCAAGCCCCTGAGCACTGGCCACCTTGGTTTCTCCCGAGTTGATGCTTCATCTCTTGGGTCACCTGCACGTTTGCTCAGCCAACAGAAGGAGCCTGCTGGGGGCAGTGCCCGGCCCTGGTTCTGTGCTGCCCGGTCTTCCCCTCCTTTGCCCCTTCCTTTCCACGTGTCACCAGCTGACCTGGCTAGATAAACAAGTTCTTTTATCTGTCACTGCAGTTCTGTCCTACAGCCAGCAGACAGGGACGTGTCCCTCTCCTCGTGCTCAGTGCCACCCGTAAATTCACATCCCGTGTAGCTGCTCGTGTGCCGGCAGGGTGAGCACAGCAGTGCTGCTCTCCATAAATCACGGCCCCAGTCAACATCCTGGTGATGAGGCGATAGCCAAGGTCCCTCGAGCAGACACAGGTCTGGCCACATCCCTTGGCTCCGGGTGGGACTGTGCTGCCCAGCCCCTCTGCTGCTTTTGACAACCTCACCCATTCTTGTATTTTTTTTAATGAATTGGGACCTGAGCCATGGAAAACGAGCAAAGTTAAAAAGTCTGAATGCTGCAAACTCCTCCTAGACAACTTCACTATCAATGTCACGTTTCTTTTGAATCCACCTGACATATTTTACGTGTAAAACATTTTTGTCGTGTAAACGCTTTTTTTAAAATACAGTCATGGGGGGGGCACATTTTTCTCTTGCATTTGACATGGAAGGGGTTCATCTGGCAGGAGAGCGAGACAAGGGAAATTTGGCAGGAGAGGTTTTTTTTGTTCCTTCCTCTTTGGTTCATTAGCAAGTCCGAGATTTTTCCAGTTCCCGACCTGTTGCCACCAACTATTCCTCCCTGAGGACTGGAGACAAAACCCATAAGGCCCCCTGCAGTCCAGCCCTGTCCCAGGTGAGCGGTGCCAGCTCCCCCGGGCACGCTTTGCCCGCCGAGCAGTGCGGTGCCACGGCACCAGGAGCCGCTCCCCCACCCCAACACCCCTGGCACATCTGGATTTTGGGCCCCAGTCCTGGCTTGCCAGTGCTGCCTTTGAGCCCCACGCCCCAACAACCCCTTACTGGACTTTATACTTGCCAGCAATAACAAATCTCGTAACGTGAGCTACTGACCTTGATGGTGAGTGTGAGCAGTTATGTTTTGTTGTTTTCTCTCTTGCTTGGTTGGGGCTGCTGTGAGAGAGGGTGTCTCTGAGGCAAACTTTCCGGCCTCTCTTACACTCGGACGTGCACACCTCCTCTCAAACACTCTTCTGAGCGCTCTCAGCGGGAAGGTTTGTCCACACCTATTAATCCTCTCTCAGTGTCCAGCTTCTTGTTAGTAGCAGCTGGTTGCATGTTTTTTGCTTGTTCGGACGAAACGGTTCAAGAAACGACTCATATCAACTCTTGAGAAATGTCTCTATTTTTTTGTACACTTTCTTTCTTTTGATGTTTTTTATTAATTTCCCTTACTTAAAAAACAAAACACCTGTCGTCCCGTAAAACATTTCACATCTCCCCTTGCCTGTTCTTAGAGTGTATGTATCTGTGGGACTGAACTAAATGCATGCACTGTAGTAGTCGTACTGGTAGCAGTAGATGTAGTTGTAGAACATGCATTGTCGAGTTGATATTATAGGCACCATCAACGCGAACGAGCGTGGCAGATAAAAGCAGAGCCTCGGTCTCACTGAAAGCGTAGGGATAATACAGCAGAGAGCTGCTAAAGGCTTGGATCCATAGTGCCCTATTCGTTAAATCCCATTATCTGGAAGTATAAATTGAAGCCGGCTGTAGGCAACCTACACCCTCCGAACAAGAACCCGCACGTGCTGTTCTGCTGATAGTAAAATTGCCTTTACTTTTTTATTTTTTATTTTTTTTTTCAAATTAACCCCCCCCTAGGAATTAAAACACTGGCTATAACTATATTCTCCTATTTTTGTTTTGTATCCAAAAGAACTCGAGATATTTTTTAAATCATTTTACGATCATGGTTTCTCCATCAGCCTGTTACTCGTCCATATTAGCCCATAGACTCATAGACCAGATGTGCCACACGCAAATCACTCCATTTGGGAACCCAGATAATTCCGTGTGTGTGAGGCGGCTCCCTGCAGCCTGTCCTGAGCCACCGAGTGATTGTTTGTAGGTCATAAACCTTAAATCTTATTATGCAACAGAGACTCTGAGCTAGTGATGGGTCGTACTCATTGCCATGTCACCCAGCTTAAGGGAACGTTTTTAAATGAAGATTTAACATTTCATAAATATCAGCATGAGGAGTTCGAGGCAAGTTCATCCTCTGTGCCATGAGCCAGCAGTGGCTTTGCTTCTCCTGCCTGGGGTTTCTGTGCTAAACTTTGACAATTCAGAGACCATGTAAATTTAGCAGATGGTGTAGAAAAACTCCTGTCCAGGATGGTCACCCCTTTTCCCCTCCCTGCACCCCAAAAGCAGTGGTGCTGGGCGGGAGCATCTCCTGCTCTGCTGGGCAGAGCCGTGCAGTCATTAATGCCCTTACAGCAGCCAGCGCTTTCCAGGGGGATAAAATATCCAGAGAGGGCTTTGCAAATGTAATTAAGGCTTTGTATCCGCTC